TACATTTTTCTTTGCAGATGCAAACATAAATTAATACCATATTTCAAATATACTGCCATGTTACAAACAAAAACAACCAGTTTAAGTTTCTAAATTATGTAGTTTTGTACACAGAATTTGAATTATGTTCAGAGGCACTTATCAGAGTTCTGAAGAGGATTCTTCTTTGGAGCAATGAAATTCCACTCTGTACAGTTTGTAGCCACATGAAGAGCATGTTGAAATATCTTATTTCATATTATGTACCAAATCTGCAGTGATTTTAGATACAATAATCCATTGCATTTTAGAAGAGTTTTTCAATTCCAAACTGTTCTTTCTATAAAAAAAAAAAGAAAAAAAAAGAAGAAAAAAAAAAAAAGGAAAAAAAAGAAAAAAAAAAAAAAAAGGGAAAAAAGGAAAAAAAAACAACAAAACTTTTTAGGCATTTCTTAGCCTGGACAAATTCATTTTCTGTACTAAAAAAAGTATTCCCCAGCTTTGCTTTTGGAATGACAAGAGATTAACTTCTTTCAAAAGAGTTAATAGTAACTAGATATACTTGATCTACAGAGATCTTTCAAGGAGTTACTGCAGTGTTTTTCTTTTTTGATACATCACAGTGAGTAGTTCTGGTTTATTTATATTTTCTTCCATTGTTCAAAAGTAAGGTTTTGGATTGACTCCTTTAGTGCTCAGTGTAAGAACTTGCTCTTACTAAGATAAAAAGTGAATTGGGTCCCTAATAAGAAGTTAGTTAGCGCCCTGCATTTTTGTTGCAAAGGAAACAACAGTGATCTTAAACTAAAAACTCTGTCAGGAAAAGGGGTTTGGATTAAATTCAGAGTGGAATTGTTGCAGCACTAATGCTGCCACTGTTCTTAGGAGTCCTTCAGCTTAGGTGAAGGTGCTTGTGACACAGATGTGGGAAGATTTAAGTTACCTGGTCAGAGATGGTCAGGAAGAAGCAGCAGGATTTCCTCTCCAGTAGGAATGAAGTGCCTGATTGATGCTGGAGGGAGGCCTCTCCCTGGCCTGGGGATTCTCAGCCGTGCCACAAACGTGCATCCTGGAACGGATGTCTCAAAAGCTGGTGCAGTTTTCCTTATGAGGAGGAGCTCCCTTATCCCCAGCAACACTGTGGTCTGGGCACAGACATGCAAAGCCTGCTGCAGGATCTGTATTGTAGGGTGAAGATCTTGGATTCATGTCTCTAGCCAGAAAGTTTCTAATAGGTTTGGCCTCTCTTTCGTGACCTACTGTTAGGGAGCAGGAGCCTAGTCCTGACTTCAGCATTGCAAGCTAAGAGCTATTACCACTGGGATACAGAGTCAACTTGTCTTTTCTTCTGCCTCCTTGATCAGTTCTGTTGTAGCCTAGCCAGAGCAGCAGTACTCAAGTTGGTAAGCAGAACTACTTCTACAGACCAGTAATTTTGTTCTAGCTATGTTGTCTGAGGGTGCAGGGAAGATACAATTTGTACACAGAAGCCCTGCGTAGATGGACAAGTTTAAGTTGAAAAAATAAGAAACCTATCAGGCAAACCTTGTTTGCTTTTTTTTCTGATCATATCAGCTGCTGTAAATAAAAGTGAGGAAGGTTGGCTCAAAATTCTACCTTAATCTAGCCTGTTGTGCTGCCGTATTCCAATCTGTTGTATGTACAGTGTCATTCCATCAAAGGATTAGCCTGCAGTGGCTTTGTATCACACATTAACTGGCACAGGTCTAAAGAAGTAGGTTTTCTTCTGAGCTGTGTCTGCAAATGAATGATGCAGACAAAGTAGGCTTTAGCTACTTACTATGGTTTTGATTGCAGAAATACATAAAGTACTGTAGTTTCTTAAAATAAGTTGTTTTGTTGATAGTAACTTTTATCTTTTTCCACGAGTTCCTACATTCATTGGTACCATTTATTGATGATGTGCTTCCTGTCAAAGCATTGCTGTTTCCAATGTTTCACAGTTGTTAAGATGAATCATTGACAGTAGATGTAGTTAGATAAGTCCCTTACAACATTCACTACCAAACTAGGGGGTTACCAGTACATTTTGTTCTCAAGACCATCAAGACGACATTTATCAAAAGCAACAAATTAACTAGCGCTTGATAAAGCATAGAGGTTTTGGTTTTGTTTCTTCTTATAGATTGCATTGCATCAGCAGGAGTTGGGCTCCCTGAACGCTTATGATCTTCTTCAGCTTATGTATTTTTGCAATAATTGTGTCACAAATGAAGTTTTGTAGATTCAGGTAAATTGAGACCTGTCAGGAAGTTCTGCAATATTGCTTGGAAATTATCACTACAGAGCTGTTTTGGGCTTTCAGACTTCCAAATTCTAATCCTCAAGTTGGTCTAATGAAGTGCAAGTCTCCTCCCTGGAATTACTGCTGAAATAAGAATGCTTTGGCTGCTTGGTTCGACAGTCACTGCCTCAGGTACTCTGGGTATGTTCCAGATGGGCCGTGTATCTTACATGTGTCATAAGTTAAATTATTACCACAAGATTCCTCTCAGCATTTTAAACCAATTACCTGATTCGGACAGTTGTTTTCCTACATTTAATTCCCTTTTTTTTTTACCCTGTAGGTCAGTGAATCTTATAGTAAACAAATAACGACAAATGTTTCAAAATAAACCATTATCCTAAGACCCTATTAGCTGCTTCAGAAAAGTTGACTTGAACTCAAAGTCATTAACAGAAAAAATCCTTTTTTGGTTGAATTATTCTTAGTGTCATGTATTGGATGCAAGCAGAGCAGCTGATCAGAGCACCAGCTCTTTGGAGCTGATCATTGTTGCTCTGGACCAAGGAAATATAAAACTCTCAGTATAATCTTGCCATGCACGATTCGTGGGTAGTCCTACTGAAAACCAAGTAATGTGAACAGAATCCCATTAGCACTTTTTTAATATACATTTTTCTAAAATAACTGTTTAAGACTTGTGCTTTCGTAGGCATCCTAACAATCTGTTGGTAGTGATAGAAGATATTCCTAAAGGCAGGTTGATTCTTCCTTAACTAAAACGAGGTTTAGGAAAATTAACTATCAGACTCATGGGCCAGTGGAAGGCTGCACTCTTCTGTCACACATTCTAGCTCTTCTGAAAGAAACTATTTTAAAGTATCTTGAGTCAGTCAAGAGCAAAGCAAGTTACACTTGACTCATATAATATAAATCATTCCTTGAACGGGCTGGAGTGTAGTTGGTATTTGGCAAAATCAAATGACAATGTAACATTTTTCCTTTTTTTTTTTTTTTTAAATATGTATTATTTCAATAGTGGGATTCTTTTGTTGTTGGAAATGCTTGCTGCAAATGAAGTGTTGTAGTAATTTGTAGGTTGCTTCCAACTTGGCAGAATATTGTTTTAATTTCATGGAAAAGAAAAATCTGATTTTTCAAACCTTGTCCCTCTGCAATACATCGACCTTGAGTTTTATATTTGTCCTTACAAGGAGGGATGTGTTCTAAACTAGTGAAGGCAAGGAGCTGTAGTAGAAGGAAGAAAAAGCCCTATGCTTTCTGTCTTTACGGTCACCAGTATAATGCTGAAAGGTTTTTAAGCAGCTGGTGTTTTCAGGCTAGCACCAATTGCTGATTTAAAAACACACCCCATGCAGACATAATGAATTATTCTTTGAGTGTTTTAGTTCTTAAGGGTTTTGCTGATTTCTGCTGTGAGCTGTGAGCAGCTACAACTTCAAGTAGCTTAACTGTGAGAACTATGAAGCCTTGTTTTGAGGGGATGAACTCTGAAGGCAAGGTACACAGGCCCCAAGTCCTCCATTGATTTCAATGGTATCGTACCAGAGGGCGCCAATATGAAGAATTTTCAGTGTTGAACTTAAGCGGTGCTCGGATTCCTTTTAGGGAACGTAGTGCAGTAAGGCCATAGCTGCCTGCAGGACGGGAGCTCGTTTGCCAGGGCAGCCTGGAATCCTTAGCCTTCCTTGTGTCAGCGGTTCAGTGCTTTCCTTGTTAAAAGGGGAACGTTGCTCAGTGGCTGCTGAGGGGGGAACACAATTCTCTTCAAGCCTTAACAGTGGCTGAAACACACAGTACTGTAAGATGCACTGCCAGCATATTTGGTATTTTAAGATAAGATATAGTTTTTCCTTAGAGATCGAATTCTAGTATTGAAATACAAAGTCTTACTGTATGCAGTTTACTCTTGCATTGTTTTTGAAACTGAATCCTAGTGCTCACGTTTCATATTGAACACAGTCTTAGGGAAGTCATCATCTTCATTTTCCAGAAGGTGTTGTTTGTGATGGTCAGTTTATTCTGCCTTGTGGACTTCACAGATGTAGGCATTGCCATAAGCCTGTGTGGCCAAATTAACTCATACTTTCCTTCCATTTTCATTAACATCCCACTTGTAATAGTGGATGTAATAATACCCATTGGACTTCTCTAGATTAGATTAAAAAACTTGCTGCTATATTTGGAAACCTGGTATGGGGTCATGGTAATCGTGCCTTGCATCAATGTTACTTCTGTGTGCCAGCATTGTCTGTGTATATTTGAAATTACCATTACAATAAAACGACCTGAAGTTCTTTCATAAAAGGAGAGGACAGTTCTCCACCTGGAGCCAGATGTTGCTTTACCACTGCAACAGTATTAACAACACTTCTACTTTCATGCAGTCCCAAGGCAAGGTGTTCCAATATTATTCTTATATCAAAATGCTCTTTGGTGTCACTTAAAACCCATGTAATGTAGAGCTTATGCCAGTATGTGCAAAATAGCTGCAGTAAGAGTTATGCTACATAGACTTGTTGCAGTTAAGTGACAGATGTACAATTGTTTGTAGGAATGTACTGCAAAAGTATTTGAACAAAATTGCTAACATGTTTACTGGTGTAAATATTTTAATAAAAAAAAGACACTTCAAACTTTTTTTTTTTTACACAATTATCTACAATAAAGAGAAATTTACAACCATTTACAATCAGTTCTTAACTGTTTTTTTTGCCATCAAGACAGCTAAGATAAAGCAAAAATAATCAGTAGATAAATGAAGTCCTGTTTTTATTTCACTCTGTACTTATAAAAGGAACAAAGCATCTTGGTGAAGTTCCATCCGCATGCTAATGAGATCAAATAGAGCACAATGAGGAGAGCAAACGGATACAGAAGGATAGCTGTGTTCTTCAGAAAGGGCAATGCTGAAAAAGAGGCAAAAGTGAAGCACGTGTAAAGGAGTGCTCTTTCAAACAGGTGCTTCATCGAGAAGGGCCTTGAGGAAAGACAAAATAGTACTGCTCTGCTGTCCTATTAGCCCTGCGCTGATCGCAGATGTAAGAGAACTTGAGTTAAGTGGGATAGGTAAAGTCACCTAAAAATACAGACTTAACCTCAATACAAACTTTTATCCTATGTTTTGAAGTGGATTTACAGAAGAAAAACAAGTTGAGATGTTACAGGTCTCCAAGTACAAGCTGCTATGGTGAAAAATATAAATTCTGTTGTTTACCCTTATGAAAACATCCATTGGGTACATCTTTGTCAAACTGACACACAGACTAAAATAATGCTTTTTCTTTCAGTCCTACAGAAAAAGTTGCCATTACTTACCGCTGTATCCAAGGAATGTCACATAGATATAATAGCCAATTGCAATCAGCCATAATGTGTTCCCAACAAAATATCCAATGACTGAATTAGGTATGATGACATCTGAAAGAGAAAAATTGCTCTCAGCTGCTGTGATAGATGACTTCATTGGAGAGAAGACAAAATCTTTTACTTACAGTTGATGAAAAACAGCTGGATAAAATGCAAAATGACCAGGAGTGGATAGAAAGCATTCAGATGAACGTCAAAGGCATATCCCCACTCCACATCATAGTCTCTGTTCTGCTGCTTTACCAAGTACTTGTTAGAAATGAACCTAGGTGCGAAGATAAGTGAAAATGTGGTTAATGTGAAGCTCTGAATTTGACTGACAAAACACCCGTATAAGACAGCAAGCTAACTCTCAGATCCTAACTCTGGTGCTTCTGCTCTGGGAGAGAAAGATACTTAGTAATTATGCAAGCCAAACTGACCTCAGAACACTTTTGTTAAAACTCTGACTTCAATATTTGCATTCAACAGGTATCTGAAAGGCACTGCAGGTAACAAATGCCATAACTCTTCCTTTAAATGGTTCAGTGGCAGAATTTATCAGTGCAATTGCACGTTGGCTATTGCAGAACCAATGTCACCAGTGTTTTTGACTATAGAACAAACCTCAAGTCCTTATATTTAATTCAGTGTAAGGTCTGCTGATGTCAGAAAATAGATGCTGTTTAGAAGCAGAACAAACTCCATGTGCTTACAAACAAGAGAGCGGATCTTTCAGGGTAACTTCCTCTGAAATTTCTTTATGCCAGCAGAAGAGTCATAAGGAGGCAGATACTGGATGCAGGGTAAGGTGAGGCAAGAAGGCCCTCAGATTCATTGCGAACAGGGGAAACTTTTGCAAAAAAAAAGGCAAGCATGTGCAGGAGGAAGAGACTTGAAGCAAGGCAGAAGAATTAAGATTCCTTTCTGATCACCGAGTTCTTGATTTGGAATTATTGTTTAAGTCCAACCAGCATAAGGAGAAAAACTTTAATGTTCACTAGAATACAGCCTTTCTACTGATGAACCTTCTAACAGGAACCAGTAAAGAAAAAGATGATTTTTTTAAAGCAACGTTTCATAGAGTCATGTTTGGAAAAGACAGCTAAAATAATCCAGTCCAACAATCAATGGCCCAAAACTTACAGTCAGCATAGCCCATCAGTGTCCCAACAGTAGCACTGAACTCCGAGGGGAAATGGTTTAAACTGGAAGAGGGTAGATTTAGACTAGATATCAGGAAGAAATTCTTTACTGTGAGGGTGGTGAGACACTGGAACGGGTTGCCCAGAGAGGCTGTGGCTGGCTCCTCCCTGGAAGCATTCAAGGCAAGGCTGAATGGGCTTTGAGCAACTTGGTCTAGTGGGAGGTGTGCATCTGTAGAGCAGGGTTTGGAACTAGATGATCTTAAAAGTCCTTTCCAACCCAAACCATTCTATGATTCTATGACTACTTACCACATCAGTGTTGCTATCAGGAGACCAACACCTACGCAGTCTATGAATACAACCCAAAGCAGCAACTTTATTGTTTCAAAAAACCCCATGTCCAGCACAAATCCAAATCCTACAGTAGACACTGAAAAGAGAAAGATTTTTAAAATTAGCTTTGGAAAAGAAAGCACAAGATTGTAAATCAGTGTTATTTTTCTGAGTTTGGTGCTAAAAAAATCTCCAGTTTCCTTTTTATCTTTAACCTCGTGATCTTCAGTGCAACAGCTCCGAATTCACACAATGCTGCAACAGAATACTGTTTTGTAAAAGCTCCTTGTTAACCGAAGCCATGGGCAGACTCAGGGAGTTTCTAAGGCTGGGAAAGACCTCTCAGATCATCACCCAGTCGAACCAGCAGCCCACCCCCAGCGTGGACTGACCACATCCCTCAGAGCCACATCCACACGGTTCCTGAACACCTCCAGAGACAGTGACTGCACCACCTCCCTGTACTAATATCCAACCCGACCCTCCCTTGGCACAAACTAAAGCCATTACTTCTCATCCTATCGCCGTCACCCGGGAGAACAGCACGGCTCACTTCAGCCCTACGCGGCAGCTCTCAGCCCCACCTCCCCCCGCCTCTCCCTCGGCACGCACCGCAGAGCCACACGCTGAGGAGCACCAGGAAGGCGGGGTCGTCCCGCGCCCACTGGTCCTTGGTCTGCTTCCGGTAGTGGAAGTTCCTGTAGACCCGCTGCGGGGAGGTGAACAGGTACAGCATCTGCCACAGAGCGAACTCGAAGTCCATCTGCCGCACGTGCAGCAGTCGCCGCAGGTACTTGTGCCGTTTGGCGCCGGCCGTGTGCCGCGCCGCATCGCGGGGGCTGAGCGCGCCGTTGCCCTGACTGCGGGCCCCCACGGAGGTGGTGGGCAGCATCGCGCCGCGGAAAGGACGGCGGACGGCGGCGCCTGACCCCACCCGCTCTGCCGCCCGTTCCGCTTCCGGCGACGCCGCGCACGCGTAGGGACCGCCGTCGGGCGGGGCGCTCAGGCCGGAAATCCGTGCGCGCTCCAATATGGCGGACCGTCGCCGGTAGCGGCGCTTGAGCGTGATGTAGCGCGGTCCCTCCGCCATGCCTAAGTACTACGAGGAGAAGGAGGAGGATGGGCGGGCCTGCGGCGGGGTGCGGGAGGATCTGAAGCAGTGCCTGCTGGAGAGCCCCTGCGTCCTGCAGGTGAGAGCTGGAGCGACCCCACGCCTCCACAGACCCGCCGTCGTCGCCGGCCACCTGTGAGGCTGCGGCGGGCGCGGTGCCTTGGCGGAGCCCCGAGTTTGCCTTCAGCGAGGCGTCCCGGTGGCTGAGAGCTCACTGGTGATTTAATCCTTTTGCTTCTCATCCGACAGGAAAACAAAAGTCCCAGGCAATGCTTGAGGGAAGGGCACTGCAAAGGTTTGCAGCTCACGTTTTTTGCATGCAAAAGGTCGATGGTAAGTGCCCATGTGTGCGTTGGGTTTCTTCTAGTGGTTTGTTGCTTTCAAGTCCTTCTCTCTGTTCTCCAAAGAAAAAAAGCCTTTAGTTCAGCGAACAGAGCAGTTTTGGCCCTTGGATTTCATGTGGAATATTGTGAACAGCAAAGGTGTAGAGTGTGAGTAAGCTGGAAGAGATGCTTATTGAGATTGAATTCAGCTTAGAATGCAGCAACCAAAATAAGTGAGGTGGGTGCTCTCAGCATTGCTTTTAATCAAGCCTTGATTTAAGCACCATTTATAGATGCTATAGCTGTAAACTGAGATATTGAGTAAACTGAGGTATGAAGCTGAGTTCTGTCTGAAGTCATAGGAAAACGTGTACAGAGAACACTCAAGTTGGAAGGCTGTCGTGTCAAAAGGCACTTCCACTACCGGTATGGGTTTGTGTGCCTGAAGATAGGCAGTGTGGGGTATTAGAAGCACTTGGATGATTAGGGAGTTTGGCTTTTTATCTTCTTAATAGCGGGTTATCAGGCTAGGTGGTGAGAAGTCAGCTGTGAAAAGAAAGAAAATGTAATTAGATAAAGTTTGTCTAGTTCTGATAGGAGTTCCTTGCCCAGAAACATAAAAATATGCTGGGTATGTTAGCACTTGAAGTATGTAATATTTGATGCTGCAGCATAACTGTCTCCAGATGTCTGTCGTCTGTCTGTAGATCATTAAAGGAGTTTAATGAAACAGAGCATCTAACACAGAGTTTCAAGTTATGTGAGAGGAGGCGTGGCTCTCACAGGCTTCTGTTTTAAGTTATCCCTGGCCCCACTGATATTGCTGCTGACTCCTCCTTAAACACAATCTGAATTTTCCTCATCCTGCTTGTCCATTGTTTGGAAAAGGGTCCTACTAGATTTGCATTGTTTTGTACTTATGCATCCTGTGCCACTCTTTATTTGTGGTATTACTGCACTTACTTCAGAATGCACAGCGTGCTTCCCACTTAATTTTAATTTTGCATGAGATTTTAGGTATTGCGACATCTGTTGACTTGGAAAATCCCTGTAAGTTGCTGGCTGCATCACTCACTTTCTGTGCAGTGAGTTCAGCTTCATTTTGAACTTGATTCTGAAGCTACAAAGTAGCAAGTGCTCTGAAGTATTTCTTCTGCAAAATGAACTGTGGTCTTTGTATCTTGTCTTCAATTTTCAGCTGGATACCAGGACAAGATTCAGAGGAAGGAAGGGATACTGAAGTCCTTGGAAGAGACCCTGTCATGGGAAGTTGGAGTTCATCAGTACTTTAACTGGAGCAGAGGCTAAAGTAAGAAGAATCTGTCTGCCACACATTCTTTTGTGCAGTGCTTTCATGGAAGGTGTCAACTTCTGGAAATTCTGATGGATGCCTGGGTGTGCATTTAAATGTTAAAAAGAAGGGAAGCATAAAGCTGCAAGTTCTGGCCGAAATGGGTACTTGCCACATGCCTGTAATAAAATACACAGAATCCAGAAAAAGCTGCTGAAATTATCATTGTGTTTTGGAGTGAAGTTTGTCTTTTGTAGTTATACTAATTCTGGTAATATTTTACCATTACTAATAGAAAATAATGAAATTTGACTTGAGTGGTGTGCCTGAGGATACCTCAGGGAAGAGCTGTCCTTAGAGAAGCTGAGTTGACCAAGGTGAGATGAGTGTGAGCTGCTTCTTTCCCAGTCAGTTTGTTTCCCAATACTCCTGCCCTTCTACTCCTGCAGGTAGAAGTGGTGATGTCATTACAGTGCCACACACACAGGGATGGTCTCTCTTTCCTCATGATACAAATTCCTTTTAATGTAATTTTGCATGCTTATAAGCATGGTCTGATCTCATTGGATAACTGGATTAAAATTTGATTTCTGTATATTAAAGGTTGTTTGATCAATCTTACCGTAATCTGTCTTCTCATTGTATTGACACAGGTACAGGAGAATGATGGCAGTCTTTTTCATAATTTGAGAGCTGTGTCCAGGCTGTGGCTGACTGCATGTGTTTGGGTGTGGGGGGAGCGGGATCCTGACAAGCCAGAAGGCAAGGAGACTGTGGTCACTCTCACTGTGTTCTAGAAATGTTTAGAACATCTGTAAGATCCTCTGAGATGCCCCTGGACCATCTTTTTGCATCACTTTTCAGTCAAGTGCATAATATTTGTGCAAACATATGCACAAACTAGAGGTGATGATTTGGACTTGATTGTTTGTTGGAAATTGCAGTCCATGAATTCTAGGCCTATTTCTTGTTTTTGCTTCTCTCTGAATTCTTTGGTTTGCATTTATGGGTGTAAAATGTTCATATGCAGGTACATTGTAATAGTTTTTTATTAGAACTTTTAAAAAGCCTGCTTCTCCCTTAGTTTTTTTTTTTTTTTTTTTTTTTTTTTGTGTGT